TCCCGAGAAGCTACGTCAAACTCCCAGCGAGCGGCCGGACGAGGCCCCCCACAAAATCACAAGAGGGTTCCAGTATTTGTATCCTTCAGCGCTCTCTGGCCTTCTTCCCCCTGCCCCCTTCCCTGCGACTTTCGTTGACTCAAGCTCGCCTCCTAGCTAGAACCTAAGCGCGCGAAGCGCGCGCGTGGTTCTAGTTTTGATAAAAGCCAGGAAGCTCCGTATGAAAATCATAATGTTTGGACTGCCAGGATACGTTTGGAAGCTATCCCCAATACGTGACACTCTGGAAGATCTTAAGTTGACAGTGATACGGATGCGGTTGTGTCATTTCGGTATTAGGTTTAATATGCAAGACAGTACACCGAGTGGTACCTATATGCAGGTAGCAACATCAATACCGATCAGCTCTAAGTTGTGGGCATGTACGTGCAAATTGGCGATGCCACAACATGTGTTGGATTGGTACGGCCAAACGGTACGACATGCCGAATGGCGAGCTCAGACACGCATCACACTCATCCGTCACCTTAACGACAAAATCCTGGGAAGCAACACCACGCACGGAAACGTGCCGATATACTTGAACACCTATACACGTACGGACCACAACGTCCATCACTATGTGACGACCAACAAAGGAGGACCGAAATGGTCTGATGTTATCCGACGTGTAAAAATTATCCTGGATACCAATACGGTTATTCAGGATATTGCAGTAGCCGATCAACCAACAGGATATGATTGGCATGCACCACTACCTACAGGGGTTGCCAACATCAGTACACGGTTGTACTGGCAGCCCGAGGAACCGGTCACGCTCGGAAGCGAGCCTACTCAATCACCACAGAAACCTAGACGCGTCATCATAGATGACTGTCTTTCTCCCCTCCCGACTCTGGCGATTGAAGCATGTACCCACTCAACAATGACGATGGGCACACAGACCGGCGAACAAGACGAGCAAGTCTTACCTACGGAGTCGCGTATCAAACAGAAGGAAAGGCTCAAAGCCGAAAAGGAAGCAGGCATCAAGCCTCGCCGCATCAAAAAGCACGTTGACGACGGAAACGACGATTGCGGTGGCGACTTGTCGGGACTCGGACAGGATCTCATGGCGACCTGGAGCACTGACGTCCCTGTTGAGCTGAAGCTCCGATGGGGATGATGACCTGTTCCTTACCCTCCCCGCATGCCCGACACGCACGCTGACATATATAGCATAGTAACTGCTCTATGCTATGGTTATGATAATTGCGTGGACATGTTGGAGCTTTGTGGAGGTGAGGGTGGCATTTCAGAGCTTGCCTTCTCAAGGGGTCTCTCCTCAGGAGACAACTTAGACAAGACTACATGTGTCGACCTGGGCGATCCCTCGGTGCAGCGAGCTGTAGATCATTACCTCGCAATATGCTACGTACGAGTTGCCATGCTACAGCCCAGTTGCCGCACCGCAGGACCACCATCCTACTACAACTACAAAGTAAATCACAATACTTGGGAACAGCATCATCAATAAGATTTACCACGCATAACTTATTGTGGCAAAATTGCTGTTACTCAAGATAATGCACGGAGGTGGTTTATACGCGAACAACCCACAGGAACATGAGTGGATGAGATTTCCCCATGGAAAGAACTGACCAACCGACCACATATCACAACCGTACATATCGACCAATGTGCGACGGGACAAAGATACAGCTGGTGACTATATCAAGAAGCCGACAAATATCACCAGCAACGGCGAGACGATTCCTAAACCCTTTGAGCGACTCAAATGCAACGGTCAACATGTGCACGCACAACCGTGCAACAGAGAGCTTTCACTGGCACAAAAATACACTCGACGACTGCAGTCTGCCTTTGTGGAAGCCGTCTATTTGGCGAAAGCCATTGACACCACGCGCGGATACGCGCCTACACATACTGCGCATGCTTACCCTGCTGACCTTCCTGATCAAGCTGAACCAGGAGAAGGTATGAGACGCGTCGGCGATCGTATCATCCCAAAAGTGGCTACATGCCCAGCATGCATCGACAATGTCCGAAAGGACAGTCCTAGCCACAACAGAGACCCTACACAGTGTAAGTATCATGATTCTATCTCTGTATATTGGCCATGTCCTGCATGCCAAAGGGATCTTACGAGAAGCAAGGATGTTAAGACCCACCTCGACACTGAGCCCGGCAAATGTCGTTTTGCTGAGCCGTTCAAACTCCCAGATGATCATGATCCCGAGGGCAACAATGCGCCAGCTTGGTGGAAACCCTTACCCAAACCTGGGGAGGGCCAAGCTTCCGCATCGGGTGGCCGTCAAGGCGCTCGCGCCAGGCCACCGCGACCACGGGCCTTTGGGAACACTGATCCTACATCTGGCGCCAGCAGTTACGATGTCCTGCGAGACGCGCCCGAGCGTGGAAACACGCCGCCTACAAGGCGTACCACCACCACCAGATGCAGTTGAAGAATGAGAGCGACTGCGGAGAGCTACAAGGAACCCTCTTGCCTCAACCGGCTCGGGGGCTCCACGGTTGCCCGACTGGACGAGATTTGACATCCGACACAGTCTGCAAAATCTCCGTAGCCACGAACCTCGTGTAGTTAAAAAGGAACTCCGTAAACTGCACTTACGGTGGTATCATGCGAAGGAACCCAAGATGAGGCTAATCCTAGACAAAGTGGGACTGGACAGCGTTCGACTAAATTTGGTCAAAGAAATCTGTGACACCTGTCGGGAATGTAGAGCATGGGAACGTCCAGGAAATTCAGCGCTACCTTCTGTAAGCCTTCCTGGAAACTGGCTCGATGAAGGTGAAATCGATCTCATGTTTTACAAGAAACGAACCATATTTCATATTATGGACCGTTGTATTCGCCTGGCAGCAGGCCAAGAGATTTCCGATAGAGAACGTGACACTATACTCGACGCCTACCACTATTGCTGGATTGCCTATCATGGACCCTTCAAAGTCTTGTACTCAGATGGAGAAGGTGCCCTGAACAATGACACTGCCAAGGCCATGGTGGCGAACAAGGGTACAACACTCCGTATCCGAGCGCCTGGCCAACACGCGACCTCGATCGAGTCACGTAACGGTATTCTCAG